CCTGGGAGCCAGAAATCTTTCTGATTGAGAGGGGGTCAAATACTTATTTTCCTCATTAAAATGCAAATCAATTTATAACATTTTTGACATGCGTTTTTCTGGATTTTTTTGTTGTTATTCTGTCTCTCACTGTTAAAATAAACCTACCATTAAAATTATAGACTGATCATTTCTTTGTCAGTGGGCAAACGTACAAAATCAGCAGGGGATCAAATACTTTTTTCCCTCACTGTAGCTATGTTTCAGAAGCAACCTGGCTTATCCCGTGGAAATTTATAGCAGCCAAATGCTGTAAATGCATGTTGATTCTGAATATGGAAGGAAAAAACAGAGCACCCGGAGAAAAATCCATGCGACCACGGGAAAAGAGACATGCAAACTCCAAATATACAGGCGTCAGGGTCGGGATAAAACCCACGACCTCCTGCATACCAGGCGAGAAAGTAAATATCAACCTAGTCACTGCTGCGCCCTAACAAAACATTCCACACCTTGCCAGGAGTTCATCCCTGGCACGTTGTAAATCTCAGACCATCCCGACATCCTCCCGTTCACACGCAGGAGCAGCGCTCGCTGGAGCTCACGGCTCGCAAAGCGGGACCGTGCATTATTAATGGCAAGGGGTTCTGGGTCGTGACGTACATCAGAGTAGACTAATTAGGTGGTCACTGGGGGAGACAAAGTCTAGCCCTGTGGCAGAAGACAGTTGCCGGGCAGGCTTGGGCTATTTACATCCCCACACTCCCACCCGCCACCGAGGAGGAGGAGGGGGGGAGGAGAACACACACACACACTCTCCTCCCCACACTCACACGCTGACGCTCATCCATTAGGGGTGAATTGATCGACGGCGAGCTCACGCAATTATCTGCGGCCCCTTTAATTGTTCCATTTCTATGACTTCTCGGGTGTCCTCTTCATTGCTCCTGGCACGTGCGGCGCTGTCTCTCCCCCCCCCCCCGCTGGCCTAGTTTACGGTCACGGTGGGCATTGGGTGTAACGGCCAGTACGATATCGTAACGAGCGTGTGCTCGAGAAATATGTTCACACGTTATAATAATACTGATTGTAATCCTGTAAAGATTGTTTTTTGAATAAGGCAATTAACATCTCTGCGTGTTGTGAAAATGCGCGAAGCTAATTTATTGCAATAATTGACATGAAACCCAGATGACCCTTCAGGAATTAAGCAACGAGTAGCCGTCTGTAATTACTGTGACGAGAATGTCAATTCACGCGATGAAGGGGACGTGTGGCTGGGCCGACCGGGCTGCGTGGAGCCGGCACGACCGGCCGAGTTCATGCCCAGCAGATGCCACACGGGTTGGTCAGTAGCCTGCACTTGCAAGGTATTATTATCATCAAGGTACTATTCGCTATTATCAGGAAATAATTACTCAGTTTTCAGGACCCTTTCTCACGAGGATCCTGCCATGTTGCTGCTGTTGGATACGATCCCAATTGAGTCAATTGCAGGGATTTTTTTGTATGCATTGGGGATGATTTTGCCAAAAGCAGTTAGATGGTATGGTTATGTTTTTAGCTTGGTGAATAAATCAGAGAACTCAGAGGAAGCCCATAGAGAAGAGGGGGAGGACACACAAACCCCATATCGAGAGGCTCCTGAGCCGGGAACGGAAGGCACAGAAAGGGCAAGTTCCTTGTCGTGTCCCCCTGGCCAAGGTGATGGTCTCTCTCCCGTGTCAGTTTCCCTCTCGTCCACCGCCTCGTCCCGTGCTCGCTCCCAGCAGGAATGCCGCTCGCTCATCACGTCTCTCCACGAACCCCGCGTGAACTCGCGCTGGCGATGTAACCGCCCCGACCGCACGCACGCTGCGTGTGGCTCGCACCGTCAGCGCCACCGCCGCGCACCCCTTGCCACCAGCCTGGCACCGCTCACGCACTGTGCCGAGTACCCAGCCCACGCGGGTGATTGTCCCGTATGCTGAAGTTGCGCAGTGCTCCTCTCCACACACAGCGGGATAGAGAAAAGGCACTCCACCTTTGTGCATTATGCGAAAACCATCGCTGATTCCCGAAGAACTGCACTGTGGCCCTCTTGTCAACCAACTCATTACCTACAATCTAACGAGTGCCCCAACTCACGAGCAACGCGTTGTAGAATGTTCGCACGAGCACACACATACACACGCTCACCTCTACGGAGCAGCACCGTGCGTCAACAAAAACAGGTGGACGTGCGGTGGTAAGCGCTCAACACTGCAAACAATGTAAATGCGTGGCACATTATAGACTCTCCTGCATAGAGGCAAACGGGGCAAAGTAATGATTATAATTATTACTCGAACTAAATACACTCTTACTGATAACCTTTGTGTTACCGCAAGATGAATAATCACGGGATTGTCGCCAGATACGGGAAAGCAACGTTAACATCTGGGTAATTGCTGGTTGCTAAGCAACGAGCGTGTTGTCAAAGCACATTATGTAATGTGTGCCAAAGAAGGTAACTCCTGCCAAGTGCCTTCCCTTAATCGCGTCACACGGCTCTGTAAGTTATCTTTAACACGGCGCACAATGTTAGAATGCCTGCAGAGACAAGCGTGGTTATTACTGTGGGCAAATTTGCCGTAAAATGCTACGCGCCTTCTTGCTTCCCAGCGGACATTAAATATCCCGTGACGTCATTGGCGAGAGTAGGCCATTGTGTGCCGGCGTCAGACCCCATTATTCGCCAAATTTGAAAAATGACACCGCAAATTTATCAATTCCTAGAGGGGCGCCACGGTGGCTAGGAGATGTTAATTACATCGCCTGGTATACAGGAGGTCGTGGGTTCGATCCCGACCCTGACGTCTGCTGCTGTATATTTGGAGTTTGCGTGTCTCTCTCCCCGTGGTCGTGTGGACTTTTCTCTGGGTCCTCCGGTTTTTCCCTCTCCATTGAAAATCAACATCACGGGTTTAATAATAAAATTTCCACTTGATAAGCCACTTCGTTGAGCCATCATTTGTGGCCAGGTCACTTCTGAAAAAGCGCTATATAGCTCAGCGGGCCTTACCTGGTGAAATAAAAAAAAATAGTTTCGTCGTTAGTTTTAGTTTATACTCGGCAATAATCAGCCACTGCCGCAAAAAATTGGCAGGACCCTCCTGAAAAAGAGTCACGAGGCTCGGTGAGGCTTTTCATGGCTAATAAAGTTTAACGAGTAAAAAAAAAATCTTCCCTTTTATCGCCGCTTTCAATTAACAGCTCAACTGAATGTCTCATTCTGAGACCTCACCAACTCTGACTCGTCAAGGAGCATAAACAATCACGCCAACCACGGTCATCCTTTTGTCTGGAACATCGAACAAAGACGGCTTTGAGACGCGCTTCTGCGGCCGCCTGGAACGCACTTCCTTACGATATTAGGAAGCCACTGGAGCTATGCACTTGTAAATCATCTATATTGAAAACTAATTTCTTTCTAACTGCTTTTTGTGTTTAGTTTGTTGTCCTTCCCCCCGCACCTCCGATGAGCACGGCTGGTTATGTACGGTGCATTTTGTCTTCACCACGACATCTCGCACCACTGCTGCTGCTACCCCTCGTTTGCTGATCGCGGAGCCTCATTACTCCATACGGGTCGTGTAAAGTAACAAGAAGTAAACATCGTATTCTCTGGATCATCGGACGCTCTGGGAAAGTACGAAGTCGGCGTCGGATGCGGTCTCACGCCGCAGCGCCCATATCGAACATCACACGTCGATTCGTCCACCCACGGCGAGGACTCGGGTATACCAATCTGACTTCTTCGTCGCACCTGTACGGTGCTCACTCACCACACTGCAGGTCACGACAACACAAAGACAAAGATCCCCCGCATAGGCTTATCAGACTGATGGGGCAAGCGCTGCTAGCGAGCACCTACGAAGGCCGGCAGGGCACACGAGGGGCCGGGTGGCCAACACGACCTTTTGCCTTCCGAGTCGTGATGTTTACTTACCGCACCAGGTACTCATTTGAGGCTGAGGTGACCTAGGGGAGGCCCAGGATTGTCACCGGTGCTGGCCGTGAGCGGGAATCGAACTCGGGTCGCCGAATTCGATACGCAGGGCCCTCACCGCAACACCACCGCTCCCCACAACTCACCCACTCATTCGCTCACTCAAATCAAACACCGCAACGCAGGTCACCACCCGTCTCGTTCTGCTTCTTCTCCTCGCACCGCTCCACTTTGCAATTCCCTCCCATCGTCTCTCCCCCCCCCCCCCACCCTCCCCGCCCCCCAGAAACGTGCGAAAATGGGACCCAAAATGGGACCCGAAATGGGACCCTTTTCACCAGTATCCAAAATATTGAAAAATAATAATAGGATGTTCAAACACCGAATAGATACCTTTTGAAAAGGCATCAAGTGTGCATTGAGCACACGAACAGCATGCCCGAGTGAGTGACTGCGATCATAAACAATGGCAGCACGAAGCAGCAGGACGCCAACTGGGGAACCACTCCTGGTAGCCCGAGGAGAGCAAGGTGGAACCATAACACACGGAATCATATGACTCGTGCGAGAATGTGATGCTGGTCACTGCCAACTGAACATTAAAATTCCACCGGGCAAATGAGCATTTCTCGGATGAGGAGGATGACGCTCTGGATATTCTACCGAAGTAGCCAAGGCCTCTTTGCAGGATGGGAACAAGTGAAAGCTCCCCAATCAGATCGAATAACCATGACATTAATTTTAGTTTCCGAACTTAACTTGGCCAAATTCCAGCTCCGGGAATGAATCGGTTTTACTGTCACCAGGCAAACATCACTCTCATTGCTAGAGCGGGTGGGAAAGTGCCGCCCCCCCCCCCGCTCTGCGTGGATCAGAGGCCACTTGCAGAAGGCGATCTCAGAGGTAGCTCCGTGGACATCCGCTTCCACGGGGGGAGGGGGGGGGGGGGTTCCCGAACAGGGAGAGAGTCTCGCCGCCCCGCGATAGTTTCGAGCGGATCGACGCGTAGCGGCGTCCCAATCCAGCGACTCACTGGCACGAGCGTACCCACCTCCTCCCGCTCCAGCAGAAGCATCTCGCTGTCGGAGAGGATGCAGAAGCGCTGGCTCCAGTCGCCTCGCTCCGTGTACGGCGACTGGCCGCAGGACATGTGGTGCGTGGGAGGGCCCTTGACATCTGCAGCACAGAGCATGCACAACGCGGCGGTCATTTGCCGGCAGCAATGGCACGTGCGCACTGCAGCAAGTAAAACAAGAAAGAAAAAACACATTCTGTTGATGATCTTCACGATGACAGCGATCCCGTGTCCCTTGTGTGTACAAACTCGATCTCCACGGTGGGCGCCCTCTCACACACGTTGCATTCCCTGGCTGTGAGTTTCCACGCGTGTATAGGATCCGTAGCCCCCCCTCCACTCCATCTTCCGCCCGTCCACCACCCCCCCCCCGCTCCCCCCACAGGGGTCCGTGTCCCAACCAACGCCACTGCCCCGAGGCCACCACTGCAGCCTACTAACGAATGTGCTTAATGTTATGAGGCAGTGCTAACGATGAAATGCACTGGGACCCTTTATTTATACATGAAAGCAGACCAAGTTCAATGGTGAAAAGAAAATCAATCAATCAATCATTGCCAGCAGAAAGAGAGAGGGTGGGGGGGGGGAAAGTCTTCAGTTGTGACGTGAACAAGGGACGGCAGTGAGCAGCGCGGAAAGTCCGTCGGGCGCCTTCCAAACGCTGGGATGAAGATAACAGAAGGGGAGACATCCCATGGAGGCGAGGGGAGACATCCCATGAAGGCGAGGGGAGACAGGGGAATTTGACAGAAGACATTAGTTACCAGGACACAGGACATGGAGAGCATGGGGAGGGGTTGAGTAAGCCGAGAGATGGCATGCGCACACACGCAGACACGCGAGCACGCACAGGATCTCGATGACTCAGCGCAGCCTCGTGGCCGATTTGCCACTAGACCGGAGCCAGCGGAGCCAGCGGAGCCAGCGGAGCCAGCGAGCCAGCGGAGCCAGCGGAGCCAGCGGAGCCAGTGGGGAGAAGTGGTCAGGCCCGACAAGGATTCGCCTCGAGTTTTGAGGTGACATTAATGGGGAGGCTGTAGCAGAGGGAATCCCAGCAGTCAGGGCGAGAGGTTATGGAAAGTGTAGCTGTGGTTTGGAGGGGTTCACGATGCGATGCCTGCAAGAGATGCTGCGTTTGAAGGAAGGAAGGGAGGGAGGAGGAGGGTGGTTACAATGTTGCATCAGCTGAGAGAGCAGTGGCAGCAGGAGAAACCAGGCAATAGCCAGGGGTCGTGATGCCCTTGAGACAAGTGATATTCAAAAGTTTAAGATTTAATTTCTCAAACAATAAAATCATATTTTTTACCGATTTTGTTTGAATCGTGCCATGGGCAGCATGCCGTGTGGAACCACGTGGCAAAACACGGTCTGCAAAGGAAGGTTGAGAAAAAAAATCTGCACGTGAAATAGCCTCTCGTGCACAGAGAGGCATCTCGTGCCGATTTCGCCATTCTCAATGTCACAGAACCCCCGTAAGCAGCCATCGCAGTTCACACGGCGCCATTACCGCGAGCAGCAGCCTCAGCAGGACATCCGCAGCTCGCTGATGAGTGCGGGGAGGGAACACTGATTTCGTTATAAAGGCCCTGCCTCGAATGTCACCAGAGGAGCGAGTACCAATATCCGCCGTTCGCCACTGAACGACGGTGACATCACCACGTCACGTGTGCCAGGCCAGGTGCACTTTGAGGCCACGTGCAGTGTCGAAGGCTCGTTGCTGACGGGAGGTCACGGGACAGATACAGCAGGTGCCATGCGCCGACCGACTGAGATGACCGGCAGATGCACCACCAGCTGTTGTCCCCTTACTGTGCCAGTACCGCCGCATGGCGCACTACCGCCCTGCACAAACGTGGTCCCTGCCCACACGCACGAGAGGCGGGTGTTCTTGCGAGCGACCGCCAGCGTCGGAAGCCGCTACGGGAAGAAGCCACCGGTGCCTTGGCGGCGCGTCCGGAGGCATTGGCGGCGAACTCGGGGAGAGGCGCTCGCAGGACGCCGGAAGCGCCTAGCCGGTGCGGCGCGCACGTCCATCGCGGCGAGTTAATGTGATCGCCGTCTCTCCGTGTGTACGTATGTATGTATGTTGAACTCCATTCGCCCTGTACGTAGCCAACCGTGCTGTTTGCAGTTACGGGGGGAAATACAACAAACGAAACACAACCGGACTGCGCCAGCGCTCTCCTCTCCAGCAGCTACCAGCACCCGGAGCCCCAGAGTCTGCACTGTGCGCCTGAGCGCGATTGCTCAGGCCTGGACTCAGGGGGCGAGGGTGGGCGCAGCGGTCATCCAGGGAGCAGAGCAGCGAGCGGCACCAAACGTGAATGAACGCGGTGAGCTTTTACACGGGTAGACTTGCCCCCACCATAGGAATGGGGAACTTCTACCACTAGCTCGGGGCTGTAAACGCAGGTGACCGCTGCCTGCCTCAATGTCCACTGGAGCAGGAAAATCACTGAGATTTTTTTTATGTACTCAGTTTTACGGATGCAGCACAAACAAGTCGATGTGTAGAGCACGATACTTGGTTTCATATTTGCCGAGCACAATCACAAAGGCCTAAAAACGCCAAACGGCCAGCAACAAATAGCACCGTTAAAGGTGTAACAGGTGACAATGAATACGTTTATTGAATTGAGGGCAGTTATAAGGACTTGAGAAAAGCCACAACGGGAGGGAATTCCAAAGTCCAGAGGGCCCTGTTACACTGGGATGTGTGGCCAATTCCAATACAGTCATTAGAGTTTGTTTGTGGGAGGAAACCAGAAAACCCGCAGAAATTACTATCACTATATATGTTTTGACCATGTAAGGCCCACTGAGCTATATAGCTCTTTTTCAGAAGCGACCTGGCCACAAATGACAGCTCAATGAAATGGCTTATCATCGCGTGGTAATAGACAGCAGCTAATTACTCTAAACGCATGTTTCAAACTGTGCAGAGAAAAACCGGAGGACCCGGAGAAAAACCCACACAGCCACGGGATGAGAGAGAGAGACACGCAAACTCCAGATAAACAGCAGGCGTCAGGGTCGGGATCGAACCCACGACCTCCTGCATACCAGGCGAGGTAGTTAACATCTCGCCACCGTGGCGCCCCACAAAAACCCCAGGATGCATAGGAAGGGGCAACACCCAAAGTTCCGCACAGACAGATTAAAAAAAATCCTTGGATGCGATTCCATTTCCTAGCCACCGAGCAGGCACAAACCCTGCAGCAGTTGCCACTGTATTCATTAAATCGTACCATGGACACGGACTGCACAACGTTCTATAATTTACAGACATTTTAACGTTGTTAAATATAATCATCACTGTCTGCTTATCTGTACCTGTCGCACGACGATTGCGTTACACCGTCACTAAGCGACGAGCATTTCGAATGGCCAAGCGATCCGGAAAAGTTTTGCCGCACTCAGAAACCGCTCGCAGCTCGACTGCTATCTAGCCGGGTGACAACCACAGTGAAGGCGTCAAACTCGATTTATTTTTTTATTCTGGCCACGGTCTCGCCAAACAGCCGTGAAAAACGATTGTAAAGATATTACCGTCGCCCGCCGACGGAACATGAACACGGACGCTCCACTTCGCGAGGGCAGAAGCGAAGCAGCGCGGGTCGGTGTGACCTGTTCCCGCAAGCGGCCGACCGCGGCGAGAGCGCCGCCGGTCCGCCACTGCGAAGCACTTTGACCGTGGCCGACTGACAGACAAGTTGATCAACGTGCACGTCCGTTTGACAAGACGCCAGGGCTGCTGGCTGGTAATGAGAAACACCGTGACTCCACAGCCTCTAGACGTGTCCACTCTATCGGACCACAATTATTAAATCCTGAAAACCCTCTCCTCTGACACGGAGCCATCACTTTCGCAATATTCTCTCTCAGCTGTTGAGAACAAAGTCGAAGGGACGTTGGAAATCAGTGGGCCATCTATGACTGGATAACCCTGTATAATGGCCTGTGTGAGCAAAGACAAAGATGACCCATATAGGCATACAGAGTGTTGGGGCAAGTGCTGTTAGCGACCACATAAAAAGGCCGGAACGATGATTACACACTGCACCAGGTACTTATTTAAGGCTGAGTCAACTTGGCGCAGCCCCAGATTCAGATATTCATCAATGATTTGTGTCTGCGAGCAGGAATCGAACTCAGGTCGCCATGTTCGTAGCAGAGTGGACTGACCACTGCGCCACCGCTCCCCACCAATTTAACACAAGCACGCCGCTACAGCGCTCCTGCCCAGAGTCTCCGTGAAGATTTCTGTCGACACATCCACGGTGACTCGCTTGGACCACGCACGCAAAATGAGTCGCACGCATGCAAAATTCCACTTCCAACTGCAGCTTGTTGTTATAAGGTCGCACTCATCACACACACAAAGCGCTTGTCACACATGAACCACATGCAAACGCCGGTCATCCTCACAGCGGCCTTTGGCTGGCCATTGAACAAAGACGGTCACTGCATCGCACGCTTTCGGATACACTTCTGTGGCCGTCTGGAACGCTCTTCCTTCTGATATTAGGAAGCCACTGGAGCTATGCACTTTTAAATCTAGATTGAAAACTCACTTCTTTGAAACTTATTTTCGTGTTTAGTTTGTTTGGTCCTTCCTCCACACCTCCGATGAGCGCGGTTGGCTACGTACGGTGTGAAAGAAGTGCCACATACGCACGCATCACAAGGGGTACAATAGGCAAAGTGCAACACGGAAAATCACACGCAGAGTATTTTTCAAACATCTTATTACAGATGCACGCGACCCAAACGAGGAAACCTTGAAGAAATCGAGACGAAGACTCGAGGTTGCCGAGTGAGGCCACGTGCAGGAGGCCGCAAGGTGCCGGAGGCGTGACCGGGGGTTGAATGGTGCCCGGACGCTGAGGTCGGTGACGGAGGGAACAACGGGAGAAGCTCGGGGAAGAGGAACACCGCGACCTGACTGGGCCTCAAACTCCAAACACTGGACACCAAACACTGGACAGGATGGAAGTTGTCTCAGTTGAGAGGCGCAGCGGAGGACGAAGAGAAGTGGAGGAGACCCCACAGGGAGGGAAATCAGTCATTCCCCAATGGTCCAAAAGGCCAAGGGAGTAGA